TTGCGGCACACGAAGTACTCGAAGAGCGCGGAGTCGGGCAGGTCGCGCAGCGCGTCCCCGCGGACCTCGGCCGGGGTGGCGCAGGCCGGCAGGCGCCCGTCGAAGTTGAGCGTCTTGCGGCGCTGCACGATCCACAGCAGGCGGCAGTCGCAGGCCAGCGGGTTGCCGTCCACGCGCAGCGTCTCGAGCGTGTTCACCGAGTGGAAGGTGCACTCCTCGAGCGTGGACAGCTGGTTGTTGGAGAGGTTGAGCAGGCGGATCTGGCGCAGGCCCAGGAAGGCCTGCGGCTCCACCACCGCCAGCAGCGCCCCGGCCAGGTGAAGCTCGCGCAGGCGCACGAGGTCGCGGAAGGAGCCGCGCGGCACGGTGCTGATGGGGTTGAAGGAGAGGTTGAGGCAGGTGAGGTGCGCCTGGTGGCTGAGCGCGGCGGCCGGCACGGCCGTGATGTTGGTGTGCGTGACGGACAGCGAGGTCAGGTTGAGGCCCTGCAGGCTGCCCGCGGCCACCTCCTCGAGCAGCGGCCAGTTGTCGATCTCCAGGTGCAGCAGCCCCGGCAGCTTCCGGAAGTTCTGGTCCTCGAGCGCGGCGATGGCCAGATGGCGCAGGCGCAGTGCGCCCAGGCCGCGCAGGTGGCCCAGCGACTCCCCGGACAGCGCCGTGAGGTTGCAGCGCTCCAGCGTCAGCTCCTCGAGGGCCAGCAGGCCGGCGAAGGCGCGGCGCGAGATGAACACCAGGTCGTTGTCGCCCACCTCGAGGCGCCGGAGGCTGCGCAGGTCCTGGAAGGTGTAGTCGAGCAGGATGACCAGCTTGTTCTCGCTCAGGTCCAGCAGCGTCAGGTTGGCCAGGCGCGTGAACACGCCGGGCGGGATGAGCTTGAGCTGGTTACGGCGCAGCCGCAGCTCGCGCAGGCGCGGGAGGTTGTCGAAGGCGCCCGGCTCCACGTGCGCGATCACGTTGTCGCTCAGGTCCAGCTCCTCCAGCTGCGGCAGCGCGGCCAGGTCACCGGGGTTGAGGCAGCGGATGCGGTTCCGGCTGAGCTCCAGCAGGCGCGTCTCGGCCGGGATGCCGTCGGGCACGGCGGTCAGCCGGCGGCGCGGACAGGCTACCGCGCGCGTCACGGCGGTGCACTCGCAGCGGGCAGGGCAGCCGTGGGCCGGCGGCGGGGCCGCGGGCAGGAGCAGCAGCGGGAGGCCCAGGACACGCAGCCAGCCGGTCATGGTGTGGAGCCTGGGCCTAGGGCCGCGCCACCATCCTCCTGGACACCTGCGGGCGAGGGGCAGTGTGAGGGCCCGCGCAGCCCCCTGACCCTGTCCAGTCGATGTGGACACGCAGGGGTGTGTGCAAGGTACTCACGTGCGCTGGGTGCCACGTGGGGGCGCCGCTGAGCAGGGACTGGGAAGCATCTCTGTCCCCACGCGGGGTGGCAGGGACCACAGAGCTAGCTAGACCTCACTGTCATGGGCACTGTTTTCTGCGGACAGGCCTCTGCGCCTGGGCACCACTGAAAAGAACACTACCTGGAGACAGGCCATCCCCATAACCAGTTATATATGATCCATGACGGCTTCACTGGAAGGTTTCTCAGACACAGATGACGGGGCCTTTCCTCCTAGTCTCAGTCTAGGTGCCATTCAGCATCTCAGCCACACACAAGCCTCCGCTGGCCGACACCTGGGGCTGTGTACGAGGTGCTTGGACTCGGAAGGGAAGCAGGACTTGCACACCAAAACAAGCCCGGACCCTTCTATTCTAACCCTTTGGGGTAGAGCCAGAACTGCCCCACAGGACCGCCAAGGCTGTTATCTCTGCAGAAGCTGACTGATAAATCTTCCGCCCAAAGAGCAGCTGTGGGCCTCAAACCACGAACCTTGTGCATATAATCGCTGCACTAGTAAAATCACGATGGATGGTCAAGAGATTGAGATTGCTCAGAGCTTTAGTTTGCTAGGCTCCACAGTCAACACTCTTGGCATCAGCAGCCAGGAAATTAAAAGATGTATTGTGATGGGAAAGTCTGCTGTTAGGGACCTCTCCAAAGTACTGAAAAGCAGTGGTGTCACTCTGGAGACGAAAGTGCACCTGATACAGGCCGTGGTCTTTGCAATCACTTGCTATGCGTCAGAGAGTTGGACAATGACCAAGGAGAATTGATGCCTTTGAGCTGTGGTGTTGGAGAAGAGTATTGAATATATCATGGACTGCTAGGAAAACGAACAGGTTCATCCTAGAGAGGGTTAAGCTAGGCTGCTCCTTGGAGGTAAAGATTCTGAAGCTTCATCTGACATATTCTGGACATGTTGTAAGGAGGGACCAGTCGAAGAAGGATGTCATGCTTGGGAGGGTAGAGGGACAGAGCAGGAGAAAAAGACCCTCTATGAAGTGGATTGATTCAGTGACTGGGGGTAGGTGTGTCAGAGACAGATTGGCACAGGACAGAGCAGGTTTTATGGCTCTTTTACAGAGAGACACTATGAGTTGCAAGTGACTCAACGGCACATAACAACAATCACTAGCAAAATATACTGTTGTCATTATGCACCACTGAGTCAGGACTGATCCATAGCTGACCCTCCAGCAGACTCTTTAAGGCTTTAAATCACATGAGAGGAGACTGTCCACCTATCTCCCTCAGAGCAGCTGCTGGATTCAAACCACATTTCTTTGAGTTGGCAGCGCAACTTCTTACCACTAGGTCACCATAGCTCCCTGTCGTCTGCATAGAAGGGAAGAAGTCTACCCATTAACATCTGTTGTTTGTTGTTGTTATGTGCCGCCGAGTCATTTGCAACTCATAGCGACCCTATGTACAACAGCCCAGAACTCCGCTCTATCCTGTGCCAATCGCACTGCCTCTGACACAGCCATCCCGATCACCCCAGTCACTGAATCAGTGCACCTCATAGAGGGTCTTCCCATCCTGCGCCGTCCCTCCACCCTCCCCAGCATGATGTCCCTCTCCAAGGACCTGTCCCTCCTTGCAACATGCCCAAAGTATGTCAGATGAAGCCCCAGAATCCTTACCTCCAAGGAGTAGCTTGGTTTAACCCTCTCCAGGATGAATCTGTTTGTTTTCTTAGCAGTCCATGGTACATTCAATACTCTTCTCCTGTACCACAGCTCAAAGGCATCAATTCTCCTTCTGTCCTCCCTAGTCATTATCCAACTCTCTGATACATAACAAGTGATTGCAAAGACCATGACCTGTATCAGGCGCACCTTAGTTTAGTCTCCAGAGAGACACTGTTGCTCTTGAGTACTTTAGAGAGGTCCCTAACAGCAGACTTTCCCATCGCGATACGCTTTTTGATTTCCTGACTGCTGGTGCCAAGAGTGTTGACTGTGGAGCCGAGCAAACTGAAGCTGTGAACAATCTCAATCTCTTCACCATCCATCCTGATGCTACCAATTGGTCCAGTGGTGAGAATCTTTGTCTTCTTGACATTGAGCCTCAGTCCATACTGAAGGCTGCAGTCCTTGACCCTCTGCAGCAAGTGCATGAGGTCCTCCTCGGTTTCAGCAAGCAGAGTTGTGTCATCTGCATAACGCAGATTGTTAATAGATCAGAATTTCCACTTCTAGCCACACAGTCAAGAAAGATAAAGATGTATGAGAGGCAAAAAAGGTTGAAACAGCCCACGTGTCCATTAACAGAGAACCAGTAAACACAGTGTGGTCCTTCCACATGAGGGAATGCACAGTCTCAGAGCTGAGACCCAGCATGCACGAACCATGACAGGGTTAGGCCGAGTCACAGAAGAACAAATACCGTGTGACCTCACAAATAAGCAAATACACCAAGGAAGATTCGTGGTCACCAAGGGTGGGAGGGAAGAGGAGGGGAACTATAACCCAGGGTCAGTGAGGTCGTGGTGGGATGCTTTGGGAAAGGACAGTGAGAAAAGAGTACAATTTGAAGAAAGCAGTCAGCATCACTGAGCCGCGTGTGTCATGACTGAGACCATATGTTCTGTTATGCATATTTCCATCTTGATACAATGTTTAAATATATTCAACAGTGGAGCAGCAGATGGCCAGAGGTGCCCGCAGGAGGGGAGGAAGCATGCAAAGGATTTGGACTGAGGTCTACTGAGTAGTAGGAAGGCACCTGGTGGAGGCCCCAGGAAGGTGTTACAGAAGGAACAGGCTGTGCAAAGGCCCTGGGGTGAGGCTGCAGAAGAGGCAGCAGGAAGCAGGAGGCTGTGGGGAGAGGCAGGGAACTGAGCTGTTCTTCGTCCACCCCACCCCCACCCCACACTCTGGCTGCAGCCCAGACCCTGGGGGCCTGGCTGGCGGTGCAGATGAGCGGCCAGCTGGGATCTGAATGGTGCTACCCAACCCCTTCTGCCTGGCTGCCTCTCATGTGCGGGGCAGCTATTTTGGGCATCTTGGCAGCTGAAGCACCCCCTCCCCAGGCAACTCCCTGGCCCTCTTTGGCCCTGTTCAGCTCATGGGATGGATGTCCATGTGTGGGGCCCCCCATCTCCCCAGCCCCTTGAGGATTTTAGAGAAAAATACAAGTGAAAAGCCCCGGGGTACCTGCTGGCTCCCTGCTATGGAGGGCGTGTGTGCAAGCCAGGAGAGAGACGGTAAGTGGTCTGGTGGCACTGTGGTTAAAACTTTCAGCTGCTAACTGACAGGTCAGCCGTTTGAACCCATTCTCCACTGGCTGCCTAGTGTTGCACTGCCAACCCAAAGGCAGGCAGTTCGAATCCACCAGCAGCTCCATGGGCGAAGGATGAGCAAACACTATGGGAAGTTACTTCCGCTCTGTCCTGCAGGGTCTCTGGGGTCAGAGATGACGCAGTGGCTACATGTGTGTGCTGAGAGTGCTGGAACAGATGGTTCATGGCCTGGCTGCTGAGTGAAAGGGAGGAGATGTGGGTCCACTCCCAGGTAGCTCAGGAGAAAGGCCTGGCTCTCCACTTCTGAAAGATCACGTGGGAGGGACTCACAGCTGAGCCCCCGCTGGGTTTCCTGAGTATGTAAATCCCACAGATGGAGGTTCCTCGGAACAGATGAAGGATTGGAGGCATCTGAGAGGCGCGGCCCCGAGACCACCAGGGGCCGCTGTGGAAGATGAGCTGCAGACAGTCTGATGTGATTTGAGAGCAAAGTGCCAACAGCAGTTGGGAAGGGCCGGTAAGAACCAAGGGCGGTGAGCGCGCTGACCAGGAGGGGCGGCCCGACCCCAGAAGCCCAGGGTGAACATGATGCACGGCGCTAAGCGGGACACGCATCACACTGCATGGCCGCAAACATGTAGAAAGCCAAGTTGCACTTCAATCCCAGAGGTATGTGGTTCGAATCCACCAGATGCTCTGCTGGAGAAGGAGGGTCAGTCTCCTCCTGTACCAGTCAGATCCGATTTGATGGTACACACAAAAAAAATAATAAAATTTAAAAAGCCTCTTTTTTTAAAAAAAAAAAAAGCCGGCAGAGCACAGCTGTGTTCTGGTATAAAGAGGGCGCTGTGCTCCCAGCCGAGGTATTTTCCCTTCAAGCCAAGTCATTCGCCCCTGAGAAGCCGAGGCGTTACCCCCTCGAGCTGAGGTGTATCCCCTAGCCAAGGCCCTGAGCCAAGCTGTCCCCCACCCCCCAGCCAAGGCACATGCCCCCCCAGAGGAAGCACTCACTGGCTGGTTTTAGCTACAGCATTGCTGTAACTGCCTTCCTGCCCCTCTCACTCCTTCAACAAACACTGGTGTGTAGGTCTTAGTTCCCACAGTGGAGTCAAAGCACCGTGGCCTGTGACCCCTGGGAAGAGAAACAGGCCAAGGTCTGAAAGCACGGTGTGGGCAGGGCTGCTCCTTCCGAGGGCCTGAGGGGACCAGCCTCTGGGGATGCCGTCTGTCCGTCCTGGGCCAGTCCAGCCTCTGCCTCAGCCTGACACGACCGCCTTCCCTGGCGGTGTCCCCCTTGATAAGGGCACTGCCCTGCCCCCGTACAACTCTGGCTAACATAATATAGGAGGACAGGGGTGGGGGGAGGCAAGCTGCTGACTGAAAGGCTGGGGCCCCAGGAGCCTCAAAAGCAAGGCCTCGTGATTAGCCAGCCACTGAGGGCCCTGCGGAGCCCAGCTGTCCCTGTGTGGTCACCACGATTCCAGCCCTGCCGGCTGCCACTGGTCATTTAACGACTCTGCCTTCAGAAGCCTTGCATCTAGCAGCAACGCTCCCCCGGTACTGGGGCCACGACTCAACAGAACACCAGGCAGGTT